AAAAAAAAAAACCATATTTTATTCCATTATAATGGCCGAGAAATGCAGTGTTCCCTAAATCGATAAATACACGGTATAGTATGAAAACCTCAAACATTCTAGTCAATCTTTTGACATTTATACAGAGTTATTTTTACCAATAAACTCAACCCAACCATTGTCATATGTATAATTTAAGTAGGACATACCTATACAAATGCGAGCATACATTAAGATAAATAATTACATACTATTTAATGAAGTTTAAAATAATCTACTAGGTTGAAAACTCAAGATTCCAAACTTTAGGATTATTCTTGTAATAATTTACGTATACGGTATACCTAATAAATACGAAATCCCGAACTTCAAATTTTATGATCTTGGAAATATAGTACGAATACTAAACTTTTTAAAATAAATAGGTTGCCGAAAAAAAATTTCCAAAATTGCATGCAAATTAAACTGCATTTTATTTCGTATTTCAATAATTTTGGTAATTGCAATAGTGATTGATTAGTGTATATATAACGAAGTAATATTAATAATTAATAATATATTATCTTGGTGATGTATAGCTACCATAGATGATTCAGTTTTATAAGTTTTGTTTCTATAAGTTATTTTCTATATTATTTTAGAGTAATTATATATAAATAATAATATTTATAGTTGAATAAGTGTTAAAATTTAAAATACGGTCCGTGTTAGTTTAAAAATAAATTGTGATTGGGGATAAAACGGATCTTAATATTGTGTAAAAACCGTATGCTTTTTCTCTGAACTACCTATATAGGTACATATAAATTTCATTATACTATGTCCGGATTCCACAACGTCCTATTAATAATATACAAGGTACATACATTCAATAATAGATGTATACATTAAAGATGGTTACTTAAATAATTGTGAGAAAAAGTTTAATAAGTATATAATATATTACATGCACTATGTRCATACTTATAACTTATTATATATAGGTAACGTTAATTAATTTTATAGAGAATTTATACAATTTTACATTCAAAAAAATAAAAATAAATACAATTAAATATTTTTTATAATGTTTCCTAATCTATAATAATTACAGACATTACCATCAAAAAACTTTGTATCATAATATTATGTTATCTATTATATCAATTAAGGTGAAAATGTGAAATCATATGCTTATATAAGTATGCAACTAAATATTGAGTCATCCGGATGAATGAAGACAAACGAAGTCATTGTTTTATTTTGAGAAATCACTAAAACATAACTTAGTAGTTAAAGAGTGACAAATTAAATTTCTTTTGKATTAATTATAGCCTATAAGTAGGAATCTTCTACATAATATATTATTGACCCGTCGCGGACAGAAAATATTCAATTTATGCATTTTTAGTTATTTATTTATTTTAAAAAAAAGGTAGATAAGTGGGTACCGCAATGCTGTACTATACATACAYAGCTGTTGAGTATTTCATTGTAAATAGTATTTCATTTTCAACGGAATAATAGATGAGGTATATTGGGTTTGAATTCATTGATAAATAATTATTGCGTACGAAAAACGATTCTGAGCGGAGACTAAGTGCCATCCTAGCATACGTATGTATTAATAATATAATTTTATAATTAAAAACCAATGAATATCAAATATCGTATAAAAATTAATGATACTATTCGATGTTTTTTTTTTTTATATAGATGTAGAAAAATTTGTTCAGAATCTTCTGATAAATTTTCAAGTATTAAGTACCTATAAAAATAAATTGTGTATTAATTTCTAACTGAAAAATAATTTGCAAATTTTTGGGATTTGGTTGGACTTCTTTAAAATTTGAACCTTAAATGCATGTAAAAAATAATTGTACAATGTATGTTTAATATTTTTTAACTTCTATCAAAGTATTAAAGTAAATAACGTCAACTTATAAAGACCATTGTATCAAGTATTCATGATTTTAACTAGATAAAAAGTTTTATCAACAAGTTTTAATCTATAAAAAATATACTGTAAAAAAC